TTTGATGGTTTGAGGAAATAAAGTTTCCAAAAAGCAAGGTAATTAAAATAATGCTGAGTCCTGAAAAAATTTTGATAGATGCATTATTTCTGCATTAGAAAAATTCACAACTTCAGACCTTAACAGAAATTCTACTTCATCTTTCCTTCAGACCCTCTCACCCTCTCCTTTGTAGAAAATAATACATTATATGTTAAAAAGAAGAAGATAGCAGGAAAGGAAAAATGAAGGGGGGGAAATCGGAGGGGGAGACGAACCATGAGAGACTATGGACTCTGAAAAACAAACTGAGGGTTCTAGAGGGGAGGGGGGGGGGGGGATGGCTTAGCCTGGTGATGGGTATTAAAGAGAGCATGTACTGCGTGGAGCACTGGGTGTTATACGCAAACAATGAATCATGGAACACTACATCAAAAACTAATGATGTAATGTATGGTGATTAACATAACATAATAAAATTAAAACAACAACAACAAAAAAGACCTTGGCACTGTAGCATACTATTAGGCACTAACCCTTTGAGTATCAAATAAATTTCCAATTTCCCCAAAAAAAAAAAAAAGTGTTTCCAGTCAACCCCATCGAAACTATTGCTTTTGTCTCATACTGTTTGTCCACCTCAATTCTTTTGTCACTTGTTATGTAGATAAGCAATTCCAATTATACCTTTGCCACTTAAAGAACCCATTCTGCACTGACTCATCCCACCTTATTCCTTTTCTCCCCAATGCATGAAGGGTAAAAGAAATAAAAATAAATAAATAAATCTCACTTCTCCCCAAACTGTTTGGAAACCCTTCCCTTTATCACCTTTATTTGTCTTGCAGAAGAGATATGCTTCTATTCTGCCATGCCTTTATTTTTTCTCTAATGCCAAACTAGAAGGGATGGCAGGGTCAACTTTCTCTTTACTTCATACTGCTACTTTTAGGGACATTTAAAATATCATGTCAAACAATACATACTTATCAGATCAAATCCATCTCATTTTTCTGTATCACTCTTTTAGAATCACTCTTGGCACTATCCCCTCACTTGCATGTTTCTCCTTCAGCTTGTTCATGGCATCAATTTTATCTGCTGAAGCACCCAAGTTCCTTAAGACTACTTACCCTGTGCAGAATTACTGTCTCATGGCTCATCACGCTGGAAGTAACCATTAGAAGGTGTCATATCTCCTGTGAGATCTCTAACTTTGCACCTTCTCTCTTCAACCATAGGTTACTTTCAATTTAATACTCCCACTCAGCTGCTCTGCAACCTAATAAGCAAAAATATAATTAAAGCACTTAGAATCCTACAATAACAGAGGTCTCTATAGCAGTAAACTTTTTCCTCTCCTACTAAGCTTTTGGCTCAATTACTTCAGTACTAGCACAATCAAAGCCCTCATCTTCCTGAAACTTGTCAATTCCAAATCAGAATTCCTTCCTACGAGCCACTGCCTAAGTTCCTCTAACAAGCCCACAGAGTAATCCTGAGGAAGGATACAGAACCATGGGGAACTAAACAATTACAGAGTCTTGCTTTCCATTTTTAGCTGGCCTTTGCCACTGTCTGGTGCTCTGATTATTCATGTATAATTAACTGCCCAGTGAATTTTCCATACTTCCTAGTCTATGTCTGCTGAAGGGTTACTGGAAGTCCTCCATCTCATGATTCCTTCAATCTGCATAGTTGGCATTTAGATTTATTTTATAGAGATGAGTCTATTTTCATAAGCAATCAACACTAAGCCCTGAGATGCTAACACTGTATGAAACTAGAGGAGGCTGGGTCCCAAAAACAATCCACACCAGAAGATTCTAACACATGTGAGAGTGGGGCAAAAAAGGTTACAACCAGTGCAGTCCATGAAGGCAAAGAGCTTGAGAAATTGCCAATCTGAGAGTAAGGGAATAGAAGTATTCTAGACCATCAGTATGAGGAAGGAGATTCAGTAAGGTCAAACAGATCCACCTTGAGGGACCTGGTGAGAATCTGAAAGCCATAGAAAAGGGATCTGAAATATAATCTTGGGAATATAGAATAGGGATGAGAAAAATGAGGCTTCAGAACTCAACTCCAAAGAAAGTGAATGCATTATTAAGCATAGCCTGAGACATAGGGCTCAGAAGCAAGAATGATCTTGATGCCAAATAATGTCTTCTGAGGTCAGGAGCCTAGAGCTAAACCACTCCCAGGACGCAGAGGGTGAAGTAGATCCACAATACGATGGAAATAATCGAGTGGTGGGAGCCAATGGGAATGATAATAAGAATGAAGAAGTGAAGAGAATCGAGTCAAATAGCATCTTGGCACAGATTATTTTATCCTCTTCTCCCCATGTCTTTGCATCAACATATATTTGTATCTTTTTAAAAAATGTTCTTCAGATTCACAAGAGAAAATTCCTCTAAATAAAACTGTTTTGTTTGTTTGGTTGGTTTTTCAGACAAGGCATTTGATCTTGAAGAGTTCATGGAGGATTTCCTAAAATATTTTAATTTTCTCTGTTTAAGAGCTCTCTTACACCAGTATGGACTCATTACAATTTCAGTTATCCATGCATATGGTATTTTAAGGGTCATATTACTAAGTGGAAGACAACCGGGAACTCATTATGATATTGTCATTTTACTGATGTAGGATGAAAGATGGTCTCAATTTAGATTCATTGAGTAGCTTTTATCCTGAGAATAGCTGTGGTTTCATAGGAGTTCCTCTTTTTGTTTGACTTCTAATACTTGTTACCATTCACTTGGATTAGAGTATCAAAATCCCTCTGCATAACTAGAGAGGCTTGTTGGAAGGTCATGAATAGCAAAAAATGGATCAAAATTATAGGATGTCCCTGTGTCTCTAGCAACTAAGGCTGCAAAAGCCAGTCAACTCGTCTTTAATTTGCAAGACCCACAGTATTTTATTAAGAAAAATAAAGGTAACATCCATCTGGATTAAAAACCACACCTTTTTACTTTCTTCTAGAACACTGTTCTTACAGTGCTCTTTCTAGCAGTCCCTATAGGGTCCTGACTTTTCCTGCCTTCAATTTCCTCTAGTCTCTGCCTTTTTAAAAAAATTAAATAAGGGGCGCCTGGGTGGCTCAGTCGTTAAGCGTCTCCCTTTGGCTCAGGTCATGATCCCAGGGTCCTGGGATCGAGCCCCACATCGGGCTCTCTGCTCAGCGGGAAGCCTGCTTCACCCTCTTCCATTCCCCCCTGCTTGTGTTCCCTCTCTCGCTGTCTCTCTCTCTGTCAAAATAAATAAATAAAATCTTTAAAAAAAAATTAAAGTCTCTTTTTGTTTGTTTGTTTGTTTGTTTACTTGACTGTGCTTCCATTTTAACTCTCTCCTTCCTCTTTCTTGGCAACTTTTAGGTCAAGCATTTGCCATTGGCAGACAGTCTTGAAGAAATCATACTAAGTCATTTCAACCTCTATCTTTGATATAAAAGACATGGGGTAATGAACCTTACATGTCTTCTTGTAAGAAAGTTCTTTAATTCTAAAAGTATGTTTTTAAAGATTTGCAATTCTAGAGAATTTTTAGAACTAAAAACCTACATAAGAGATAACTTGGTTAAACTTATTTTATAAAGGAGAAATTGATTATTGTTTAGGATATAGTATGTGACTGAACAATATATTTTTCTCATTAATTTATATTTTTCCAATTCATAACATCAATATATAATATATGAGCTACTAAATAGGGATCAGTAGCCATTATTTTTAAGAAAATGAAGCATAATTCTGTAAATATATATAGTGTAATACCATTCTATCAACATTATACTTTTTTTCAAGGTATCTGGCATTTAATACACTCTGTAATTGCTGCACTAAAACTTCAGTTTGAGAAATGTGGGCATCTATTGTGCACATCAATTATGATAGCAGCAGGTATAAGCTATTTTGACATATTTACTCCTTAACTGGGTAGAACAGGGAACCAAAGAATGTCAAAAATATCCAACACGTACACAGCACTTACTACATGTTCAGATAGTGTCTTATTTATAAATAAATGAATATATATATGTATATGTATGCATGTATATATATATATATATATATATTTTATATATCAACTTCTTCACAACAACCCTGGGAGATACCTATTTTAAAGATGAACAACCAGAGGTTCAAAGAAGTCAAGTACCTAGCGGAGGTATGTGGAAAATTTGGAATTCAAATACAGGCAGTGTGGACCACGTTTTTCTTCTAAGGGTGTTTTCTTCTGTCTCATGTCAGGATCTTCTTTTCTGTCCATCTCCCAGCTTTGCTTGTCTCTTTGCTTGATGAACTTGATGGCTCTGTCATTTCAGCAAGATGGTCACCTATGATCCTGACGGGAAGATACAAACTTTCCCTTATTTCCAGGTGCAAAGTTCCAGGAGGGAAAGTAGTCAGGCTAGCCTGATCTCTGTGGCCAAGAAAATGTGGTGCTGTGATTGGCTGGGTTTCAGTCACTTGACAAACCTTTAGCGGCAGTGATCCATCCCACTAACACCACTTCAAGATAGGTATTAATTTTAAAAATAACAATCTTTGAAGTGGATTTTAGAGTGGGCTAAATGAGAATTGAAAACTGTGAGAAGTCAACTTACCCCGTTCTCTATTTTTATTTTGTTTTGTTTGTTTGTTTCTGGGGAGTGTCATTCAAACCCAAAGTTTGAGAGCCAAAGAGAATCTCAACCAGGTTCCTTGAGTTCTCAGTTAATTGAGCTGACACAGCTCTTTTCATCTGGCCCCAGGAGTTCTTGTGGCCCCAAATCTTTCATGGCCTCAAAGAATAAGCTTAGTATAGTGTACATGCCTCTAAATACACTGAGAGAGAGGGGGGAAGGAAAGAGTTTTGGTATGCCTTATAAGTGTTTCTCACCTTCTGATATTTTCAAAATAAAAACTTAGTGAAGAGTTGTATTTTTCCCCCAATTTCCTTAGACATTAGACTAATGTTTCCTTGAGTGGAAAATGATAAAAAAGACAGACTTTTATCACAGGATGCTTGGGCTTTACACATTTTATTATTTATGTATTATACAGTTTACCAAATTCTGTTTGCTCAAGAATGCTGTGCTTATGAAATAATTATGTAAAGAACCTAGAGCATAAGAAAAACATCACTATAGGTCTTTTTCTTTCCTGTAAGATTAGAAATGGGTAGAAAAAGGATCAGTCATCAGCATTCCTTTCCTATGTCTAATTTGATGTATGTCACTTCCACATACTTGTTCCCAATGTTTTTAAAAACAGGGAGTCCAACATGATGCCAAGGTCAATGGTTTACAAAATATGGTTTCCCAGACTAGCATCATCACCCTTACCTGGGCACTTAGAATTGCAAATTCTGGGGCCTGACCCCCAGACCAACTAACTGAATCAGAAACTCTGGGTAGGTGGGGCCCCAGCAATGTTTTAACAAGCCCTCCAGGTGATGCCCATATATACTGACCTAAAAACCACTGTCAGAGGGACTTTGTCTCTCCCTTTTGCAGGGCCTCCTTACCTCCTTACCTTACCCTTTTGCAGGGCCTCCTTACCTCTCAGTGATAATGGACTGCATTCTTTACTAATTAGTATCCAAACAGAAATTTATACCAGAGAGTTAACAATCGATTCCATATGATTCTCTTCTCAAACACAGAATGTATCATTAGCTCTTGAACAGAATTGGGGAAGTATTTCTTGGCTTAGATATTTTGTGCTTGCCAACAGCACTCTGATTTGACATCAATACTATGTTCTTCCCTGCATCTTGCTTGTGGTATAAGGTGTTTATTCCTTTGGGGACTGCTATGGTCTGCTTCAGTGGCTGATCCATAAATTCAATGGGATTCTTTTCACAGTTTGATTTCTTATTGGGTGGAGATCTCAGTTTGTCCTTGCACTGCCCATGTAAAATAGAAACATGAAAACAGTGAAATAAATTAAGGGCCATTTTTGGTGACTCCTCTGGGCAATTTTCAGGAATGCCTTGTGAAGGCACTATTCATCATTTTTTGCTGACAATATGTCTCTAGTGTATTATTCATAAATATTTGATTGACTTGCAGGCTAGAATCTCCTAGTAGATGATGTAAGATGCCATGTTTTTGTACCAACCAGTTGGATCATCACACATAAAAACCAGTGTACACCAGTCCATTGATACAGTATACTCAGCTTAGACTCAATATACCACAAAGCCCCATGGTAGACAGGCAAGCCTTGTTGATTCAGGTAGGGTTAGTTTTGTTATAACGGTTGAAGTTATGCATCATTATGCATTTACTCCCTAGTTTTAAGAGTGAGTCCATACTTACTCACTTAAGTAGCTTAATAGCCTGACAATGCAGATAAGTAGTTCAACAGTGTATACTTTTCTGCTGTAAAAGACAAGCATTAGCCGCATATTTACATTAGGTCTATATGACAGGGTCTATCTACATCCATTTATTTTGGCTACAAATAATACTCAGTTGAGTCTCTCCAAGAAAAAACATTGAAGTAGAACATAGGAATGCATTTTCCAATGTCTTAGCTAGGATGTCACAGTGTTTTTATTGGACCATTCAAAAACTTGTGCAAGAGTTCCTTTCAACTGGGAACTTGGGGTATACAAGTCCCTGTTGATATACAGTTCATGAAACCAGCTTTTGAGCACGGAATCATGTTACAGGCATTGATTGTGGAGCTGAAGAGATGCTCTGAGGAAGCATCCCATGGGAAAACTTGGAGTTGGGATGGTCTTGGCCGTATACCACACACACACTTGGGTGCAGGTGCTTGGAAGTCTGACAGTGCTGACAGTGGGTGAGTGCTGTGGATGGTGCTCCTATCCGGTGAGCACCATGTAGGCAGTCTTCTCATGAGGACTTAGCTCCCACGCAGCTCCTGTCATTCAGACAATGCTTCATTCCTTGGAAACTTCTGGGCCTCAGCTTTACTGATGTGCTTTCTCTGAGCTTAGGGCTCCCAGCATTCAGGCTTTCCTCCATGTTCTTCCTTTCTTCCCAGACTGTTTTGGCATCCTATACAAACTCCTTATTTACCCCTTTATACAAAAACTCTCTTCTCTCCTTATGTCTCTTTTTGGACAATAAGGTGGATCCTGTTTATCTGTTCAAACGCGAACCCCAATTATTAGTAACAACAAAACTGCCTCCTCCTCTCCACTAGAGGGCAGTGAAAGCTCAAGCTTCCTAAAGACCACTGTTTGGTATCCTGTGGATAGTCCTGGGGCTCTCAGGTGGCTTTAATCAGATGTCTTGGGTTTTAAAATGGGTGAGGAAGAGGGTGTTCAGGAGTAGGAATCAGAAGCAATATAAACTTCCATTTTATTTGGAGAAATACTTTATTCCTGAAATCTAGCCAATGGGCTTTTCTACCTGCAACCAGTGTATGAACAAAGGAAGCTATGGATGGCCTGAGTGTGCTATCAAAGGATTCTGAGTGCACTGTATGAAAACCTCAGCTGAACTGTCACGGATATAACAAACGGTCCCTTGACTCCAGGCTGACCAGGCAACAGTGACCTCTATGGTCTGACTTGAAAAGATTATTCAGGCCTGTCCTATTCCTGCTTCTGTAAACTTAAATTTGGAATAAGAAACACGTGAAATGTTTTCCAGTTACTCGTCAGAGTTTAAGGTGAAAGTTACGATAACAGAGAAAAGGCCCAGGGAAGCATGATGGGCAAACTGAAGTTCCACGGAAGCGGAAGATAGGGGGGGCAGCTGATGCGGTGTCCAGAAGCAGGTGCAGCCTGGGACAGAGGAAAAAACAGGAGAAATAGGTGATTGGAGCTTCCCACAGGTTTCCACTTACCATATATGTGTATCTTTACATAACAAGACATGTACTCTCAGCCAGTTTTGATTTTAAGAACTCAGCTTCTTTTTTGATATATTTTAAATAGTCACTTGAGCCTTTTTTGGGTCATTCTATACCAGGTTCCTCTTGTTCCTCATAGTATTCACAACCTTATCCTTCCAAAGCCCTTCCCTCAATAATTAGAGCTAAAACTTTTTTTTTTTTTTTTTAATTTATTTATTCATGAAAGTCAGAGAGAGAGAGAGAGGCAGAGGCAGAGGGAGAGAAGCAGGCTCCCCGCCTAGCAGGGAGCCTGACGCAGGACTCGATCCCAGGACCCTGGGATCATGACCTGAGCCGAAGGCAGACGCCCAACCATCTGAGCCACCCAGGCGCCCCTAGAGCTAAAACTTTTTGAAGTATCCTTTCTTACTGCTGCCAAAAGTACCACCTTCCCAGCACTCTGATGATGGATGGCCATTGCCAAATGGTCTTTCCGTAGAAGTCTGAAAGACTCTTTTTACCAGGGAGGTAGAGAATTTGGTTCATTTATCCAAAGATGATCCCCTTAACTGGTGATTCCCCTACTGGTCATCTCTTAGTTCCTTTTCCTCTTTGCTTCCAACACCTGGAATGGCCTTCAACTTTTTTTCTTTTTTTGAAATTGTTTTAATTGAAATATATTTGACATATAACATTGTGTAAATGTAAGGTTTACAACATGTTGATTTGATACATTTATATATTATAATGTCTGCCATCGTAGTGACAGTGTAGGGGTCTTCTCTTTAAGGCTGGCTTTCTCTGAGAAGTCCATCAGCTATCTGTCTCCTCAGGTCTTTCCCGAACTGGCCAAGCATTATAGGCTCTTGTTTCACCCCACTGATTTCCAGAGGAAGAGAGATTAACTTACTTGTTCCTGCAGGTTCAAGATTAACACGATATACCTACTTCCTTAACTTTGAATATACTAGCAAAGCTCAGGATGGAATCGTCCCCTAGACATTCTTTTTATTTGTCACTTGTGCCCTTCAAACTACTTTGACCTCCAGTAAGGAGAAATCATAGACAGTCTGTACCTAGATGTATGTCATAACTTCTCCATATCCTTTATCCTAGGAGCTTGGCCCACAAGAGTCAATCTTCCTCAATGAATAGACATCTTAATAGAGATCTTAAAGTAAAATACCATTGCAATTCACCACACAGTTCTATTCTTCTTGACCCTGATTATATTGTATCTATCATATCTGCCTTTTAGGATTCCTTTCATTGAACACTGGGATAGAGCCGTATGTTGTGTATTTGGCCCCTTTTATTTTGATACCCTATAGTATCAGTGGTATGAGATAAAAAATAGGGCTCTAACTGCTGGAGTGTGCCATGGTAAAAATATGAGGAAGCTCGTATTGAGATACAGAACAGTTTACATGATAAGCAAAACTTCAAATCAGGGGTCAATTGAGAAGGGGCCAGTAATTTGAAATAAATTAATTTCAATTTAGAGAAGCAAATGATCTTTAGATCATTTAGATTTGCAGATCTTTATCTGCAAATTTGCTATATGGGATTTCCTTTTTAGTAACAGATTATTTTATAAGAATGCCACTTGTACTATTTTAATAGCCCTTTAACTGATTTCTCTCATTCACTTTCTTGTCCCATGGTCCACTTAATACCATGATGTGTTGTTTTTTACCAAAATACAGAGGCAATCAAGTCAGTTCCGTTTTCAGAAACTTGCAGGGTTTTCCATTGTTAAACAAGACCATCACACACATCCAAGGTCATTTTAAGCATCTAGATTGATCCATGCTCTAGTGTGTCCACTAGTTCTTTTTAAATTGCAAACCTCACCTTAAGTTAGCCCTTTAGTGACTGCCAGCACCCTACTGAGTAGTGAAGCTGAGGCCAATATGCATAACTGTTCACAATCTAAACTGCCTGAGGGTCCCTTAACAAAGAAGTTTGGCCATGTCTCTGTTTTTCATGATGATCCTTTGTCCGGAATAGTCTTCCTTTTCTCTTTGGATAATTTCTTTTCATTCCTCAATACCTAGCTGAGGATGACTCCACGCTATGTTTTATTACTTTGATGTGGCAAAACTATGTGTATCTTCCTCCCCAAAATTGAAATTTTGAAATTTCTTATCTTTGTGTCCCCAGCAGAGCTTTGCGTCCAGCGTATTATATGCTTCACTGAAGGACTTGTGCTGGAGACAGAGAGAAAAGAGAGTGTTTAGCTGTCAGCCCTTTCAGGGATTAACTCAGCTGCAGAAAGCCACCTTGGCCAAAGTCATGCCCCTTTCAGGGTTCCTCATTCAATGAATATTTAATAAAGGGCATAGAGGTCTGGCTATTTGCTTCAATTTGGGACAACTCTAAAGGCCAGTCTAGCTTTAGAGCTTCCTGTAGAATTGCCCAATCTTGTTGTTGGACATGCAATGCTCCTTGACTTTTCTCTCAACCTTATCCCTCTTCCTAGCCCTCCCTTTCCCAGGTGTTGATATCAAGGCACTGCCTCATGATCTGCACGAAACATTTCATCTCAGACTCTACTTACTGAGGAACTCAACCTGTAACTGGTATCAGGAGTGATCCAAGGAAGCAGGAGATACCTAAGAGTTTCACAACTGGATCATTTGCCTTCCGGATAGTAATAGAACCCCAACTCTGGTGTTTGTTGGGCACAGATAGCTTCTGGCACAAAGTGATAGTCTAACATCTTTTAAAACTTCCACCAGTGTGGGGGCGCCTGGGTGGCTCAGATGGTTAAGCATATGCCTTCGACTTGGGTCATGATCCCGGGGTCCCGGGATCAAGCCCCACGTCTGGCTCCTGACTCGGCGGGGAGCCTGCTTCTCCCTTGCCCTCTGCCTCTCCCCTGCTCATGCTCTCGCTCTCTCTCTGTGTCTCTCTGTTTCAAATGAATAAATAAAATCTTTAAAAAAAAAAAAAAAACTTCCACCAGTGTGAATTGGAATGGTATACCAGCACAGTAGTAGAAGGAAATAAATGCATTAGCTGGTGCATTTTGTCAATAGTTTGAGAAATATGGAGAAAACAGTTAATTACAAGGTCAGTGAAACTGAGTTGCTCTTTCTAAGTTTAATTGACTCTCTAGAAAATGATAACAAGCTGAGAGTGATTAATCACCAATTGAAAGCTAATATGAAAGTCAGAGGGCCATTTTGGTACCATGCATAAAAGCTCTCATTTCCTGTAGAAGGAATGCAGAGAATACTGAAAGCCAGACTAGAGACTTAATCATTAGAATAACTGAGCTAAAAGAAAGTTTCAACTCTCAAACAGGGCAGGTCTGCTATGAAGTTCAGGGCCCTTATTGGGAAATAATGGTATCATAACATTGGGATAAGGACATCTGCATTGATGCTCTGATGAAATACTGAATCCCTACATTCATCTAGTATCTTGGAGCCAATATAAATGATCCACCACTCCCTATCAAAAGCTAGATCTCCCCACTTTCTTGAAGACAATGCAGTCTCTTCTACAACAGACCTTTGCCCCTTCTTCTAGCTGTTCCTGCACCTTCCCTTTTGCCCCTAAGTCTGTTACTAGTGTTAAGTAACAGAATAGCCCAGAAAGGAACCTTTTGAGCCCGAGAAAAAAGGAGAGTATATCCTAAAGAAGCTTCAAGACCTAGAAGCTAGAGAGTACGCGTGGGAAGTGGGTTTTTGGGGTGTTTGATCACTGGAGCTAGAAGATGAAGACTGATAAGAGAGAGTTTATGATTTGGGAACATTTGCACAAGATATTGGATTTGACACTATGAAGAAAACCCCAGAGAGATGGTGCAAACTCCCTATTGAGATGGCTCGTGGACACATGACAAAAGTGTTATACTGAATGAAGTTGAGTGTTAGAATTGCCATAGCAGATGGTATAAAAAGGGTTTAAAATGTTCAGGGAAGTGGTATGGAAGAATGGAAATACTATGCACAGCTTCAAGACCCTACAGATGATTACCATGCCCAGAGGATAGACATTTTACCATGATCAGACAGAGTAATCTAGTAAGGAAGGAACCAGAATGACACAGAAGTTTAGTGGCAGTTCTGTCATGACTGTAGGAAAACCTGATACACAGCCAGGCTCACTTTCAGAAATGGGAATGGTAAAAAAACCCAAACACAGAAACCAGGTGGTAGGGCTTCTAGTGGCACCAGAAGCCACTGGAGATGCAATTATTATAATGAGTGACAAGATCAGAGGGTCAGACATAGGGCCTGACCCACAGAGAATTGTGGAAATGGTCAATAGAATATGGAGTCCTAAAGGGAGAAACAGATGGTAGTACTACTCAATTTATGCATAATCAGGAGATGAAGGGTTGTTGTCCCAGTAAAAGTAATGACCCCTTGCTGTATACATTTCTATTGCTGATGTAAAGAATTAACACAAATTTAAGAGTTTAAAACAACACAAATTCATTATTTCACAGTTCTGTAGGTCTGAATTCTGGGTACAGCATGGCTCAGCTAGAGTCTCACAAGACCCAAATCAAGAGGTTGAGAGGGCTGAATTCCTTTCTAGAGGCTCCAGGGATGGATCTGTTTCCAACCTCATTCAGATTGTTGGCCAAATCCAGTCCTTCACGGTTATGGGACTGAGGTTGTCATTTGTTTGCTCGCTGTCAGCTGGGGGTCACTCTTAGCTCCTAAAGGCCACTCTCTTGTTCCTTCATGTGGGATCCTACACCTCAGAGATAGCAGCAGTTCCCTGAATCATTATTCCATTTGGAATGTCTTACACTCCCTTTTTCTGCATCTTTCTTTCCTTCTTCATGCACTTCTCTGTGACTCTGTCTGAGAATGTTCTATACTTGAAAGGGCTTGTGTGATTACATTGGTGCTGCCCAGATAATCCAAGATAACCTCCTGATTATAAAGTCCAGCTCCATAACTTATTTACATTAGTAATGTCCCTTTT